GACTTTTTTTTATATACTCGTTTACATTTATTAGCTTAATTACCTGAAAGATTTACTTGTCTATTACGTAGACTTTTTACACCTAACAAATGTTCTTCTAAATTATGAGAAATTTTGGCAAAGTTCGAAATTTAAAGTACTTAAAAATTTAAACAATTTTCTAAACATTGAATTTCTAAGATAAGTGTATCATTTAAAGTCCTAGTCCGATTCAATTGCCTAAATCTGACCAAGAATATTTTTTATTGTGAAGTATTGAATGATAATAATGAGGAAATACACGTGTTATATTTAATGAAACAAGAGAGTAAATTTATTTACAGATTTACTCCTTTTGAAGTTGTCAGTAGCTTCTTTCAGGAAAAGGAATCAAATATTTAAAGTTCATAGTTTCAATGAAATGTCAAGAGAAAATGTTCATATTAAATCATCAAACACAAAGTAATGTTTAAAACAAATTGGGAGAGTTCGTTTTTCACATAAATTATATAGATGTATTTAACATGAATGAAAAAATATATCTTAAGGTACTTAGCTTTGGATTTGAAAAGACTTTTTTGAAATTGCCATGCTCTCTGTATCGACATAAAATTTGGCATCAGTATTATTCAGATGCGTGAAACTCTGGTTTTCTACTTTGTGCTTCATTCTGCTTTCTCTCTCTCTCTCTCTCTCTCTCTCTCTCTGTCTTGATTCAACTTTCTCTACCTATTTATATCAAAAAGCGATTTCACATTGGCTCGTTGCTTTTTCTCAGTTTGTAAGCTGCTCCGTTTTCCATTGGTCAAAATAAAATTTCACATAGGCTTGCTAATTTGAAAACAGTGGTGAAAAGTTATTTTTCTTTCATATTCACCAAAGTTGAACCAAGAACATTTTAGCATTCCGTAATAATGAACACGCTTAGCATTCCATAATAATGAACACGCTTAGCATTCCGTAATAATGAACAAACTTTTTTCCTGTTAAAAATGACTGCATATAAGCTTATTTCAGATGTTAATGTCTAATTGTTATGAGAGTGGTTTTCCCAAGTGCTTAATCACATCTTTTATCAATCTCTCATCATAACATGTCAAAGATAACTTGAAATGGAGCAGAGGAGGGAAATGTGGATTCATGCCTTTCCTAATAATATTCATGCTAAATACATATAAGCAGTATTGACTGAAATTGAGATTAATTTTGCCAAATCTGTTTTCCTGTTGGTTTTTAGTTGATACCCATATTTGAAAGAGATACCTCATTTTTTTTATCTTATTTTTTAAAACATGTGTATTGTCTATCAGTTTGCACAACTGAGAAAACTTAGAGAAAATGTGCACTCTGGCAGGGTTTGAACCTGTAACCTCCTTTGTAAGAGAAACCAGCATCTGTTGTGCTTTAGACCATTCAGCCACAGAGAGCATCACAGCCGAGTAAGGTTTTATCTATTCTTTCAAGGAATTAGAATGACAAAACATGAATTCCTTAAAAGAGTAGATAAAACCCTGCTGGGCTGTGTATTTGTCTCCCTTCCTCTCTCTCTCCTCCTTTTTCTCTCTCTCTCACACACACACACACACACACACACACAATGAAGTAATCAAAATATCAAATAAAAAATAAATCCATTAAATTGTGTGTACGGATTAGAAAGCAACATTCTAATAGGAAAAGGAACAAATAGAAAACCTTCATAAATTTCACTGGTTTAACTTTTACTTAAGCTTCATTAGAAAAAGAAACACACAAGAATTATACGCATGAACGTTACCTGACAATTACACATGAGGTCTACTTGACCAATAAAAAACAAACAAGACAAATAAAAAAAATAATACCAGAATTTTTTAAATATGATTTGATTATAATGATGAACACTTGTGTAGAATCAACCACAATTTTTGGAAGAGTTGAATACAGAAAATTGGTGCAGATACTGGGCCAGAAGGTCCTCAAAGATCCTCCTCTGGTTTTGAATTAAGAGTTGTCCCTCTCCTAGACTGGTTGTCACCCAAGGCTATAGGACCCCGCCTGTCCTGCTATTTACCTATAACTGGGGGTAAAAGAAATGTATTCATACTTTTCCTAAGAATATTTGCACAAAAGTGAATCCAAGCTGCTAATCCATTACACCACCATGCCTCCATCTTAAAAAGATATATACTCATTCGCTCACTCTCACTCTCACTCATTCACTCTCTTGCTCTCTCTCTCTCTCTCTCTCTCTCTGCCTCCAAATCAACAGACTTCGAATGCAATAAACAAAATTTTCAGACAAAATAATCTGCAGGAAAAAAAAATTCCAAAATTTGCCAGCTTAGCAGAATGAGTCATATTAGTTCTCAAAGTGACCACTTGGTGACAGTGGTGGTCCTTTCAATTGTAAACAAAGAAGCATGTACAGTACATAAAGTACAATATGTTAGCACATGTGTGAGAAATTTATTATTTTTGTTATTTTGATTAATATATCTTAAGTATATATTTATTTATGCCATATATACATGTTTATATTAGGATCATAACTACTGGTAGTTACTATAGTGGATTTATAACTCCAAAATAATCCCTTCCCATCTATGGACAAACGACTTTAATCGACTACTCCACCTCATTAGTCTGTTGATGAGGTTTATATATATATATATATATATATATATATATATATATATATATATATATATAAACCAACCAACACTAAACAAAATTTATTATGACTATAGCAACAACATGTTGAAGTGCATTTAACAAACATTTAATGCCATTTTGCATTTCTCCCAATTTCCACTCAGCTCCCTTATATTGGGATGCTTGTTTTACAAAAATTCCATAGCTACAACAGATAAATTTAAAATTTTAAATAATCATAACATAGTGTGTTAATGCATGATTTTTACAAACCACCATCACAACAGAATGCAGATTTTATAGCCCTACATGTAAGCTACTAGTGGACTGCTGCCAGGCCACCAATGGCAACGCCAGCAATCCTCTGGTGGCAGTCATCATCTAGTGATCTGTCAGTGGTAACATTGCCAAAATGAACACACTGGCAACGGGCTACCAGCTTTACCACTGAAGATGATCTTAGAAAAAGATCAAAAGTAATTGGGTTTAAAAAAAAACTACAGTGCCTTTCTTGATGAATTTCATCCAAACATCAAGAAAGAATTAGTATAAAAATAAGTAGACACAATATGTCTATATTATTCATTGAAAAAAAAAACATAAACACGTGTGCATGTGTGTACTTTTCTAAAAAATTTTTCAAACTTTGAATTGGACACAGATAAACAAGAATCAGGCATACTTCTCAAGTGTTTCACATCAAATTTCAAAATTGATCATCATCAAGTGAATCTGTAACTAAAACCCTACTTAAATATATTTACATGCACTTTTTAAATTCCTGAGAAAATGGGTCCTTTTCTGTAATAGGAAGACCATATACAAATATTAACAAGAGGCAGGCTAGAAATTTTTCAACCTTTCTAAGACGGGATTGCAAACTCTGATGTTTGACCAAATTTTGGGAAGGGGCTTTTGGCTGAGAACTTTTCAGTGAATCCTTTCACTGTGTGTGCCAACCTTCTTCCTTATTGCAAATTTCCTCAATGAGTGACAATTCTATGACGATATTGGCCAGAATTTTCAGGCAACCAAAACAAAACAACTGATTGGTTTTCACTTCTCTCTAAAATTAATTTGCTTTCATTTTTCTTTCTATCTTATTCTTCTTGGAAGTTTTTTTTTCTTTTTTTTTCTTTTTTTTCTTTTTATCCTCTATTGTTTGTGTGCCTGTTGCTGGGAGATTGGGGTTAGCTATTCTGACTGGTGGCATCATGGACAGAAAAAGAATATCAATATCTTTTTGTTCCTTAAGAAGGCCAGACACACACCCAGCCATCCATATAATTTCACTTATGAGCATATATAACAGACCAGTATACTTCTATTAATCCCTGTATAAACATCAAACCAAAATGTTTGTTCCAGGTAACAATGACTTATTTTTCAAATTTAGGGGAGACAAAATGGAGTAATTGCTTGCAGTTTGGATTGAGGAATCTGAGAGCAAAGTTAAGATTCTAGTAGATTGCATTACATTCCCTTTGTGCTAATACCATTGGGAAAGGTATGAATCCATCTCTTTCCCCCCACCAGTTATTGGTAAATAGAACAGATGGGGTTCTATAGCCTTGTGTGGCAACTGGTCTAGGAGAAGGAAAACTCTGAATTCAAACCAGCCTGAAGAGGGCTGGGCTCTATCAGGCTGTCTTGCCCAAGACACACAACGTCTACTGCAGCTGCAGTACATGTGGTGCTTCTACAATGAGTCACAGGACTCAAGATGACATATTTACTCTCTTTTGCCATCTTTCATGCATCTTCATAATTCCATCTTCCTAGATCTTGCCTTTCATAGGAACTTTGAAGGCGCTATATTTGAAAACAGCAAATGAAGAGAAACTGCTTAACTAATTTTTAGCAGACAAAAAAATTTAATTTATCATCTAGATTGCATGTTAAGCCCTTCCTCTTAATTAATTCCAGACACTCTTTGGAAATAGATGCGTTCAGTTGGGAGCAGTAATTATTTTAATTGTTTGGTGCTCTCACAGGAATACCAGTTGAACTCCATTCCAGTCCAAACATATACACAGCATTATCATTATCTGGAGACCAGACATTGGTACAGTTAGTGTTTGTGCATTCATTTTGCTTGATTCTTAAGTTTATCTATTCCACATTATTGTCAAGTCTTCAATGGTCATTTTTGTTATATTTAAGTAATAAAGCAAAAATCAGTAAACACCTTTCAGCTCCAATAGTGCGACATTTTTATTTTATTAGTAAAACAGATTTACTTTTTATTAGTTTTTGGTTTGTTTTTTGATTTGTTTTTGTGTTTTTTGGGGGTGTTGACATTGTTTTTTTTTTTTTTTGTTGTTTTTTTTTTCTTTTAGATGAAGCACACTCCCAACAAAGTAAAATAATATTTTTATTTATTTTAGGACAAAACTTTTTATTCGATTTCCGCGAGTACTGTTTGCCACTGAAGATGCTTTCCAGCAACGTAAAAATATCCTGGGTATGTATTGCTTTTGTTTTCTTTTTATTCTTTTTAGCAATAAACAGGATCTTCATTACAGAAGTTAAAAATGGCTGACTCTCTTTTATCTTAGCACATTTCATCACTAATATTTTTCTAGTGATAAAAACCACAATTTTTACTATTTTTTCTTTTTAATATTAGGTTTTACGAATGGGCTGAAAATGTAGATTTAAAGACTTGACATTAATTTTATTTGATTTACCTTTCCCCACTTTTGTTTATCTATAAAAAAAAATTATTTTTTTTCTATTCTGATCAATGGTAAATTCCCAAAACAAATCTTTTCTTGTTAAAACTTTAGTATTTTTTGAAAAAAAAGCTAATTTTTAAATCTTGTCTTTCTGTAATATTTTTTCTTACATGAACCAAATCTTCAAATTTTCTTTATCATACATTTTTTAAATTAAATTTGCAGTTATTTCTAAACCTCTCTAGATTCACAGATTTGTTGATGTATAAAAGCAAGAAAGAATTTTAACGTTGAAGTTATTTGTTGCCTCTTTACATGTGGGATTTGTATTTTTAGACCATAAATTTTTCTTAAAGTCCTATCTGTGAAGAATATCAAAATATGGGATTTTTTTTTTTTTCTGAAGTTCGTAAATATTTTCCTGACTATTTATCCCATTAATTAGTTGCTTTTCAAAGTCTTCATCATAGTGAAAGCAGAGTCAAAAGGAATTGCTGGTTTGATTCTAAGGTTGGAGCAATGAACAAGGAATTGTTATACTCTATATAAAGTTTCAATTTTGGTTCTAGCAGACATAGGAAGTAAAATTCAAAAGAATATTTCACTTGTCTAATGTCTGTAAAATCATTTTCAGATGATATAATTATAAACATTACTATTTTGATCTTGATGATAAATAGAATTCCTATGAAAATTATTTATGTTTAGTCTAATCTTTTCTTGCTATATAACAATATAAGTTAATAAATCTTTTTGTTTTTGTTTTTTTTTCTTTTTTTCTACAGCCACCCAAATCCAAGCCAAATTCAAAGCCTACAGGCAAAAGAAAATTTATGAAAATTTACGGTTTATGAGTGAGTTAATTTAATTTTTTATCCTTTTTAGAATAATGGATTAACATTAACATACATGGTTTTAATAAAATTTTCCTTCCCATTTACGTGTACAGTCTCTCGCCTAGGTGTCCTCCATTGTGTCAACCATAGTCAGGATCCTCAAGTCAATGTGAATGATGCTTTTCTTAGCTGCATAGTATGTGCTTCGCCAGGGCTACTTACAGTTTTGAAATCAGAGTTTTCCTTCTAGACTGGTTGCCACCCAAGTTTGTCTTACTATTTACCCATAGATAGTGGTGGGGGTGTATTCATACCTTTCCCAAGGGGATTAGCACAAAAGTGAGTGTCACGAACTCAACTGGAATTCAAACTTGGCTTTTGGATTCCTCAGTCCAAGCCGCAATCCATTACAACACTGTCTTCCTCCTCCATTTTGTAAAAGTTTATCTTTTATTTATCTTGTGTGTTTTATATATATATATATATATATATATATATATATATTTATAATTTTATCTTAAAATATTGTATCTGTAAAGGAACAAAATGAATAAAAACACAAGATTTGCCCCTCTGATGCTGTGGCTGACTTTTTAACCACATGCTGAATATTCCTGAACATTCCCAAATTTAAAAGCTTTGATAAACCAAATTACCTCCTTGCTTTTGTATATAAACACATGCAACAAAATGAATCCTATTTGCCTTGATAAAATCCCTCAGAGGATGAAATGTCTAAGAATAGTTTTCCTTGCATTTTTATTCATTTATATATATTATAAAGAGATAATCATACATTGAATCAATTGGCAATATTAATGCGATTAATGGTGAAATCTCTTTGCTAATAAACTTAATATAAGCATTAAACTAACAATCCACTGAATGATGCAATCCTTATGTATAAAATTGTTGTCATATGGATCTAGTGTATTTTTTTATAGAAGCAAGTACTTTCAAGGACTTCATGTCCTCATCATCAGGCTGTAATTTTTCTTCCTTTAAAATCAAAACTTGAAGACAAAATAAATTTGTTGTAGACCGAAAGTTTTTTTTTTTTTTAAGAATGTGTTATTTATTAACAGTTGTATAATATTGGAACATGCAAGTTGCAATGCTAAAGTTCAAATATTTCAAGTGAGAATTTTTATATGAATTTTGTAATTTGGTAAATCCACGAATTCTTTTGTTGTGTTTTCCAGTTAACGTGACATGAACTAAGTACATAGTTCAATTAATAGTGATACATCTTAGTAGTTTGTTTTTTTTTTATATATATATAATGCGCATGGCTTCTTTGTAATATCCATTAGCTACATGTCTTTTGTTTTATAAAACTTCCATTGTAACACTATTTTTTTTATATCCTGTCCAACCCTCTATCAATCCAGTCTTGGAAAAGGACTATTCTGAAAACTCAGCCACCTGAAGCTGTAAAAAGATGGCCAGACATAGGATGTAGATACTATATCTATCAATGCAAAAACCTGATAGATTTTCACAGCTATAGATGATCCAACTTGTGATCAATTATCTAGAATACTATCAACACCAACAGGCATTGAAACCAAGGAAGATGGAGGGATGGTCTAAATATTTTCACTTCTAGCCTGGTTATCTTCTGATTCTTAAATGAATTCCTTTGTTATTTGTTGATGTTAGCCTAAAATTCAGTAGCCTTAATAAAATTAGTAAATTCTTTAAGCTTTCATTTTATGAGCTTTCAATTTTTGGTCCTTTCCTTACTTCTTTAATTTGATTACCCTTCATATTAGCATCACTTTACAACTATTTAACTCTTTCAATGAATTTGTTTTATCTGTTTCTTTGTTTCTCTAAACTTAACATTTTCTCAGTTGATTTCTTGAATTGTTTCCATGTTTTCTATTGACTTACCTTTTTTTTCCTTCTTATGCAGCTATTATAATTCAATGTTGGTTACGAAGATACCTTGCAAAGAAATTGTTAGAACGACGAAGGAAAGCTGTTTTTATCATTCGAAAGTAAGTAAAACAGGAGAGAAGTGTAAAATATTGAAATATACTTCAGACATTTTTTTTCCATTAAACTTGAGATTTTATGAAGCCAGAGAGTTCTAAAACATTTCATTTTGTTCAATTTTTTTCTTTTTTGATTTAAAATAACTTCAACTCTCGTATAAGTTAAGCTTTTTATTTTGAGATAATTTCAACTCTCGTATAAGCTTTTTATTTTGAGATAATTTCAACTCTCGTATAAGTTAAGTCTTTTTCCAAACATTACAACATGGTCAATGTTTCATTTTCTGTAAAAAAAAAAAAAGAAAAAAAAAAACTTGTTTGTCAGACTAACATATTACCTATAAAATCAAACATAAAACTTTACATATGGACTGGTACATTTACTCCTGGTCAGTGTCACATCTGTATGTTCTTAACTCTGATCAGTGTCCCTTTTTGGACATCTACCTAGGATCTGTATAGTATCTGCATGAGTGACAGAACATTGGCCAAATGAATATGTCACTTGCCTATTTGCCTCCTGGTTGGATGTTGATGTAATGGAATAACCTGTCACCCCCATGAGTGACTACACTATATGTAGTAACTACCTATAAGTATCTGTAAGTCAACGGACTACAGTGTCTAGCTGTGATCTGTTCCAGCTAAACAGTCAAACTCTCTGCCTTTGGGCAGAGAGGAACTCTGACAAGGCTCTGCTGAAGGACAGTCTCTCATTCGGGGAGGTAGACTGGCCCTGAACCCGTTTATACGGGTTTGAAAGGGAATATTTTTGGCCAAGCCTATGGGCTTGGAGAACCCACGTTAAATCGGCCCTGTGCCACGTGCAACCCTTGTGCAGTGGGGTAGCTAAGTATACTAGCTGAGATCTGTTGAGTATGACTCAGACTTACGCAAGAACTACCAACCTTCCAATAGTAGCACTCACTACTGGATTGACTTGCGATGAAATTATGCATAACTGTTACCTTTATTCTTATTGTACTGTTTTTTTTACAATAAACCTTTACTTATTTTATCCACCTTGTTTTTCAAGTATATATTCCTATTAGCACGGAATATAACAAATGTTTAAACCAAAATAAGATTGTAGCTTTAATTTTGTTTTAGTATGACTGAAATTACAATCTGTTTATTATTTGATCTGCGATTTTGTTATAATCTGTTATTGCTTTTTTTTTTTTCTTTTTTTTTCTTTCCTGGCATTATTTGCATTAACAGTAAGTCATCTGAGATTTGGCTTCTAATGAGACATATGCAAATTCCACTCTTTCCAGATTAGAAAGAAAACATGAGGGTATGAGAATTGAAAAACAAAATATAAGTGTCATTCAATTAACCACCATTAATCTGATAGATTTTATACATACACACACACACTTCCCATTTGTCGTTTGCGCACTTTGGAAGAAAGGTTATTTAATGCTACTGCTGCTATAACTCTAAACTCTTTGCAATGGATAAAGCAATCTGGCAGGCGATAATGCTTATATCATGTATATAATGTGTTAAAAAAAATTCCCTTTCTCTGTGGCATGCACCAGTAGCCTAGGGGTAAGAGTCTCCAACTGATGTCAAGTCGGTAGTTTCAATCCCAGCTTGAAGCAATTATGTGTCTAGCCATACTGAAGAGCTGTGATACAACAAAAGTCTGTGGATTATATATATATATATATATATATATATATATATATATATATATATATGTGTGTGAAAAATATATAGAAAATAGGAAAGAACTCTTTAGGTAAATAATCCAAAGTTCTTTAGTATTTTTGTTATTATTTTTAAAAAATATATGTGAAGTTTCTAAATAATAAAAATCTATTAAACAATAGACATGAGTTAATGGTTTTTGCTGACATCATCAAATTTTTGCATTGAATAATTAGCATAAAAACAAACAAACAATAAAATAATTTTTAAATTCCATAGTCCTAATAAATAGTTTAAATGCCCTACAAAAAAAGATAACCCTTTATGAAGTCATCAAAAAACAAATGTTAGCGACTTACAACAGTTTTTATATACACAAAACTCTTTCAGAATAAAATAAAAAATAAAATAAATCTCCTAAGACACTTAACCAGACTAGACAATGTCATCTTCCGCTTTAAATTTAGACACCCCAACCTTACCCTGACTGGACATCTGTGAATGTAACTGAGATATTGATACAAATTAACACCTTATGCCCCTTTTCTTTAAACAATTGCTCTAGCTGTTACCATAGAAATTTTGATTTCAATAATGAATATGCTTATAAAACTTATAAATTTTCAGAAATAAGTTTTTCCAAAAAAATTTCGCTTGAAGATGGAACAGAGCTTAGTACTTTAATTCAATTTAATTCAAATAATTATATTGAAGTTTCCAGCTCTTGTTTTGAAACATGAGAACTCTTATGTAGCATGTTGGAAACATATTTTTAAATAAATTTAATATATATATATATATATATATATATATATATAAAATATGTTAATCACAGATTTATGAACAATAGATATGTTCTAAGCCATTCAGAGGATACCTAAAATGATGGAGATCACTGAAACCAAAATGTAAGATTTTTATTTCTTTAAACTATAAAAGTATAATTTAAAAATTAGGCTCAATAGGAGATTAACAACAATAGCTAATAATAAAATAAAATCTTTATATAAAAATATACTGTAATAAAAATGATGTGATTGATAGAAGTTTCATTCTTATTGTAGTTTGTATAAGTTTAAACTTTCTTGTAGTGCCAGCAAAAAGTTACAAGTAATTTTGACCAATGGTTTGAATGTACTCTGGTATTGTTCAAACTGTTGATTATGCCAGATTATGTAATCCCTCCCAGAAACTGTAACTGAGATAGGTCTGCTCAGCATAGTTACGTCAAAACCACAGGTTGGCTCTGTAGGTGTTGAACAAATACAAATGTGCCTGAGCAGGCATCTGCAGCAGGGACTGGTTAGCTGTCCTTGCAAATGATCGTGCATGTGATCTGAAATGATTATAATCTTTCTGTAAGTTGAACTTTTTTTCACTTTAAAGGAAGCATTTTGTTTTTTTTTTGTTTTGTTTTTACCTATCCAAACTGCTATCATCACTACTTTAGTACTTTGGGATTGTTATTTTATTATTTAACAAAACTTGTAAATTGTTTCTTTGTATGATAGACACTATATACCCTGAATATAGGTGGGTCACAAGCAAACATAAACACACACACATATCCTGAATAAATTGAGTATTTTTTATGTAAGTTTTCACAAAATTACTATAGTGAAGTTACAAGGCATAGAAAATAGATTTGGAAGAACATTTGAATTTTGACTGAATTTGTTGAATTTCACATGGAAAAGGCATGAATCCAAAACCTCATGCATTCTGGGCACTTACTAGTAACAAAATATCACTGGCATGTCCCAACTGACTGAAGAGTGGGTGAGTGAGCACATGGGCAAACTACTCTCTTATAACTAATTTTACCTGTCCAGGCAGTTGCAGCTAAAAGTTATTAATCTTGACAGATTCTAATCAATTACTGTAAACATTTTCAGCTTTGTCATTTGTTTTAGTGAGAGTAAACGTAAACATGTTTCAATTACATTTTGTGTGTGTTAAATTTTTACTTCCAATTAAAGATTAAACTATTTTAAAATACTTCAATCTAGTAGGATAGATAGGAGCTACATCCTACTCATTTTTGATTACGAGTTTTTGAGATCTTTAAAGTCTCCTGCCTTCATTGTTTATCAGACATTCTTTCATATTATTTCAGATTTATCAAGGGATTTATTCACCGCAAAAAGCCAGCCTGTGAAGATAATCGGGACTTTATTCAGTACACAAAGTATAATTACCTTTTTAATCTCAAGACCAAACTGCCAAAAAATGTCTTGGACAAATCCTGGCCAAATTGCCCAGAGCTTCTACAAAATGTGAGTAGAATCTGTAAGAATCCAAGTCTCCTTCTATGGCTAAACAAGCTTTATCCAAAAATTTGAAAGTAATCTCTAACCCTTCTGCTTTGAAAGTTTTACAAAAGTTGATTTGTGGGGAGGGGGGGGGTAAACTGGGTACATTTGTGGTGAGTACAAAGTAATAACTCCTTTTATACACTCCCTTCAAATTTGGCCAAGCTGAGAAAAAAAAAACAAAGAAATTCACAAGCCTGTGTGAAATTGTATTTGGACCAATTAAAACCTTGTCTTCACAGAAATTAGCTGTTGAGCCTAGAAAAAAAAAAAGAAAATAGTGAGCATATGCAAAATCCTTTTTGATATAAAAATAAGTAAAAAAAATATTAAATTAACAAGACTGTCTGAAGTTATGTGAAAAGTTTTGTTTCTGTTCAGGCATCTAACTTGAAATTTTCAAATTACTTGTCAATTATATTATCAACCTTAATCAAGCACTTCAAAGAACTTTATTTCAACAATCCAAGAAAGCTAAATATTTCCAACTATTTCTCTTCGTCTACTTTTGAACGTATGCAAACTGTGTATCCTTTCTGTAAACAACAAACTTCCTTACCTTTTTGTTTTAAACATTTTTTTAATATTATTTTGTATCAGATCATTTAATCTGTTGTGTGAACATTTCCACTTTGTGACAATTAGTTAAAACTGCTGACTTTAAAAATTTTATTTATTTTCCTGAAATGAGCAATTAACACATCTACATATGTGTATATTTGTAAATTTGTAAATTCCTTATCTTGTTTTGTTGAAATTATCCGTATGTTTTTTCGTTATTACTATCCTTCATTGATTTACCTTGGTGTGGGTAAATCAACTCTGTTTATTTTAATCCTGAAGCTCCACACCACTATACATTCACTCTAAAGGAATAATAAAAAAAAAAGATCTTTTGCTATTTTTTTTTTTTTTATGTTTACAACACACACACACAATATATATATATATATATATATATATATATATATATATATGTTTCTGTCTGTCTTCAGATTGTTGGACTGATTTGGGGGCCTAATTCATTAGTTTTGTGTTGAGTTTAAGTCCTCTTTAGCAGAAAGGTGACATTAAACTGGATCACTTGGTAGGAATAAACTAACAAATAATGGCTTGTAAGATTTGCATTGCTAATGTAAAGTAGCAAAATGCTTAACAAACACATTTTTTTTTTTTATCGATTTCACCCCAAGCAAGGCGGGAAGCCACTAGTACGCAAGGAGTTACAGAAGATTTGGAGCGAGAGCAAATAGGAGTGATAGAGGAAAGGATGAGGAGAAGGATAGTGGATAGATCAAAGCAACAGGAGATGTGAATTGACATTACATTTGAATAGTTGGCGATTATAGCTCTCAGGAAAAGGGAAGGGAGTTCCTCAGGCGAGAGGTGCGAGATATGAAGCTATTGGAGTAGAAGAGACTGCTACATTTAACAATTTCAACAGTGAAAGGGTGAGAGCAGGATGCAAGCCTCGTAGGACGCTTGAATTCATGAAGTCTGGGAACCAGCGCAAGCAGCTCATTGGAGCAATTTCCATGAAAGTATTTGTAAAAAAGGCAGAGAGGTGATGGCGTGCCTGTGAGAGAGCGACTGCAGACAAGATGCCAGATCAGGGCCAATTACAGTGCATATCTGTCTCTGGATCTTATCAAGAACCCCGAGGCAAACAGAAGGGGCTCAGCAATACTCCATGCAAGGGCAAATGGTTGATTTGTAGATTTGAAGGATCGATTCCTGGGAGAAAAATTTTCTAGCATGGCACAGGGAGCCAACTTTCCTTGCAGTGGACGAAGCAATTGACTCAATGTATTTGTTCCATCTCAGGTCAGTAGTCAACATGAGACTGAGCAGCCGCAGAGAGGTGCTCTCGAGAAGTTGAGCATCAGACATTTTAATGGTGGGTAGGGAAGGCTCTCTGTGGTGATTAATAGAGAGCAGTTTTGTTTTTGAGGCGTTAAAGTTAACCAGCCAATTCCTGCCCCAGTTCACAATCGATTTGAGGTCCTTTTCGAGATGAACGGCCAGGTTAGTTTTGTCAGTGACACTAGATTTGTTTTTGAAGCAGGAGTAAACTGTAGTGTCATCTGCGTAGATGCCAACTTGGGAATCTATGGCATCAGGAAGATCGTTGATGAAGATAAGGAACAGAGATGGAGCCTTGAGGAACACCTGCGTTCGTGGGATAGGAGCTGGAAGAGAATCCATTGAGAACGACATTCAATTCAGTTTGATAGGAATGATTGTATTAGGTCAAACAATTGACCTGTAATACCATAACCCTGAAGCTTGCGAAGGAGGCCGGCATGCCAGACCCTATCAACTGCTTTGGAGATGTCTCAGGCCACGTTGACAAAGTTCTCAAACAATATAAAAGAAAAAAACAGCAAAATAATACTAAGCAGACCGTATACATGCAAGTCAAAACTAGTCAACAGTAATAAGGCAAAAAGTTCACAAAGTAAGAATTGTGTTCACATGCAAAAGGGATACAGTCAAATGGTTATAGTGTTCTGACTTCATGACAAGATCAAAAATATATCAGATAAGATAGAGAAGTAATCCATTATTATTGGTTAGGAAGAAAACCCAGAATGCATCTGTAGGATTTGTCTATAAATTTTGGGAGGGAGATATTTTTAACAGTCATTTCTTTTTGGATTATACAAATCATTGGGCACTATTTACATTATTCGGACTATTGTCCTCATCTTTGTCACCATATTTATTACAATGTTTCGGCTGTTGTACACTCCAGCCTTCTTCAGGTGGTTGGAATGTCAAATTGAACCCTTTATTTTGCTCACTGAGATAGACTGTTCTAGTTCCATGTGCCCTCTTCAAGTTCTCCACTGCCTTAAACAGGTATTGAATTCACACTCCTTGGGTCCTGTCACTGGATCTAACTAACACCTTTATCTACTGTGCCATGTGTGTCCATCTCAGAAATATAGACATACAAAATCATTGGGGTTTAGTATTTTTACCCCACAATTTTACATATGAATTTTAAGTTAGGGTTTTCATTGAGTAATTGAAAGATTTTGATGTCTGAGGTGTGACTATTAAGAGTGAATGTGAAGTTATGGTGAATGGAAAATTATTTTTATGGATGGGTCAATGCGTGTGACTATTTAAGACTAAAAACCAGACTTCCTCACCCCGATTTTAGACCTTGTAGCATATTTGTAATATTTCATTACAATAAATATGCATTCCTTTTTGGATTGGCATAAACAGTTAACATTACAACTTTGTTTCTCTAACTTTAAAAGATTAAAATCTTTGAAAGATAGAAGACAAGAAAAATTTGAACATTGTTTTTTGCTTTTATTTTCCAAGAAAAATAATAATGTGATATTGTAGTTAGATATGAAGAAAATTTTATATGAAATAAGAAAAAAAATTCTTCAGAGGCAAAAAAAAATTGTAATCTTAAAAGGAAGGTACATCTTTAAAAGCTGTAACTGAATATTTGCTTGTTTGCATTTTAATTGGCATCCATTTTGTATCACAGAAATCAGACATTGACAAATTTTAAAATTAGGAAGCATTTTTAATTTCAAACTATTTTCTTTTAGTTTTTGTTGCTTTTTTTTGCAAACCTACAAAAGACAATGACTTTTCTAATGATTTCTTTTAATGGTTTCCAGACTTCTTCGTTACTTTGCAAATTATGCATGAAAAATATGGTGCTGAAATATTGCAAGAACATAACCACAGAGAGAAAAGTTCAGGTAAGCTGGATTTATTTTCTTTTGCCATGGACATCTCCCCACTCTATTGCAAAATTAAATTTTTCTAAATATCGAACATGTCCGTTCAAAAAACCTAGTTCTACTAGGATTCATTATTGGTGGCCACAATCTTAGCATCATAAGATATACAGATGACATAGTGTTGATAGCAGTCACAGAAAGGAAACAATAAGAACTCCTACAGATGGGAGTGAAGTAAAACAAGAAAGAATGAAATATCAATTGCAAGAAGACGGAATGCATGGTCGTTTGCAAAAGGAACAGTCCAACATGCAAATTACAAATTGGTGATACTAAAATCAGACCAGAACAAAAATTTAAATATTTGGGAAGTGTTTTAACAGAAGACAGAAAATGTGTCACTGAAATGCAAAGGTACATTGGGATAGCAAAAGATGCCTTCTAAAAGCTAAGCAGAGTATTAAGAAACAGGAAAATTTAATTAGAAACAAAGAAAAGAGTACTATACTGTTATGTAATATCAGTCCTCTTATATAGCAGTGAATGTTGGACCATCTCCTCACAGATGGAGACTTGAAGCAACAGAAATATGGTTCTACAGAAGGATGCTGAGAATACCATGAACCAAACATGTGAGCAACCACAAAGTTTTACAGAAAATGGTAACAAAAAGAAAACTTCTACTTTACGAAACAATGGAAATTTATAGGGTGCATAATGAGGAAAGAGGGTTTGGAAAAATTGATACTCACAGGACAGAATGAAGAGACAGAGGAATGCAACGCATATCCTCCCTAGAGATTCTGATTAAGTTGATGACAGAACAAATTTTAGGAGAGATAACAAAAAGACAAAATTTCTTAAGAGCTACAAAGGACAGGAAATTGTGGAGCGACATAATTGTCTATGTACTGAAGGGACACTGCATATAGAAGAAGAATGCATATATAGGAATTATAAGTTATTGGTGTGGAATTGGTATGTCAAGTTCAACTTATTACATTGTTTGTTATTCACTGCATACTTTATGCTCTTTCGTCCTGAGTAAGACGATAAACTACATCTAACAGCAAGGCCTCTCATCAGGAGGTTTTGAGTAGTGTGGAACCACCTCTTAATTGCTGGTGTTACCAGGTCAACCCTGGCCTGGGGTGGTAGCACCTGTTAGGATCCCAGCTATGGGAAAATAGTTAGTCCCTAAACTGGGGTCAAAATATGTATTAAAAAAAAATAGGTTTTAATACCAGCAATATATTTTTGAAAAAAAAAGATATTACCAGCAATAAAAATCTTGTCAACATTAAATAACCCATTGAGATTTATATGCCATATAACAAACTAAATCAAACATTTATGCCCTTGAAAAAAGAATGAACTTATCTACCCTCTAATTAAATAGCAGAGTAGATTGAGCTTGTAACATTGTGTGTGTGTGATTTATGTTAAGGGTTAACAAGGAAAAAAATCCTTTTCATTGGCCTATGAATTGACAAATCAGCAATTAGCAAAGTGAGATTTCCAGTTTTTAAAAAAAAAAAAGTTTTTCAAATTCTTCAGTAAAAATTTTCATCTTGTAGTATATAGGTCTGCAACTTCTAGGCTTGTGGAATCTCTGTCACTGACAAGTAGTCAGCAAAATTTCCCTATTGGGGACAATAAAAATAGCCAATATACATGCATTGTGCTATTTAATACTATGAAAAAACTTTTCTCTTTGTGAAAAGACAACTGATTGGACTTTGGGTAAGAAACCAAGACCGTGTAACTTTGGTGTACTGGCTTGAAAACAACCATTGAGACTAAGACAGTGACACAAACAATATGACCCACCACTGAACAATGACTACTTGTCAAACCAAATCTCAAGCCACATACTAAATTATATATGATGCCATGACAATTTCACTGACTTTCTTACTTTGGGTGACAGTTTAGAAGGAAAAAACACTCCTGAACTGATACTTGCTTTGAAACAAAAACTGTGCTTGACTTAAAGAATGTTTGCCAAAGGCCTAACCTTTCATTTTGAGGGCTGTGATAGCAATTTTGCCAAGCTTTATGCCAAACTTGATGCAAAATACTTTTTGATGATTACACTAAAGTAAGAACAACTCTTAGGTTTTTAAATGATCCAGAAGTGGAAAGAAAAAAAGAAAACAAAAACCTGATTCTTAAATAAAACTATCAGGATTAAATTTCTTTCCAGAAATTAGAATTGATATTTTATTTCGAAATCAATAAGCCAAATCTTTCTTTTCAGTTTTAATATTTGGTGGGAGAATTGAAATGAAGGAAAATGTTTATATATAAAAGAAAATACATTAACTTAATACCAATAACTATCAAATAAATTAATTGCATCAAACTTAGTTTAAAGATAATGAGAAAATGGCAGTCAGCCTGTTAAGTGGACTGAACACTTACAAAAAGGTTTGTCTACAAAACATCTGGCGTCAAGGTGCTAAATATAACATGATCAGCTAAGAGGCACCTCTTATTTACACCCAGAGAGCCCATCTGTACTTTTTACTGTGAAACTATACTGAGCAGGCCTTAGATACAATTTCTAGGAGGGAGTATATATCCTGGTGTGATCCCTTTTTTTCTTTTTTTTTTTTTAACATGGTCAGTATACTCTTGGTCACAATAACTTGTGACTTCATGCAAATACAACCATTGATGGCTTCTGAACATTTCCACCTACTCAATTTTACTGACAAGGTTTGGATCAACTCATGGCTTGGTTTTCAGGTACTTTTCAAGTGCTACATGCTGCAATCACCTCCTCCAGTCAATAACATTAAGAAGTAACCTTTCTCTCAAATCTACAATGATGAGACTTGAACCCAGGTTTCATAGTTGGAAAGTGAACATTCTAACACCCATACATACAGGTAAAATGAGAACAAATGGAGTATGATTCCACTGTATGTAATATTTAATTTAAAACAGCTCAATATATAGTAGAGCCAAATATTATTTGTTTTAGGATATTAAAATATGTTAAAAATCACTACACAATTACAATTATGTTTTAAACCATAAATGTGTCTCTTCAGGTGACGTTAAACTACTGGCGAGTGAAAGATTAATTCCATTTCAAAAGCAGAATACATTACTTGTGAGCTTTGTACTTTACAGTGAATTTGAATTCAGCATAAGTCACAATCAATTGTTTAATCATGGCAAAGCCCGCAAGTTATTTTTTAAAGTTTTCTGCTTTTTGAAATTGAATTAATCTTTCACTCGCAAGTAGTTTAACATCGCCTGAAGAGACACATTTATGATAGTGAAATATAATTGTGTAGTGACACACTTTTTTCCTGAAAAATACATGTGTGTCTTCCAAGACGAATGTAAGGCAATGTCCAGGCTCAAGTAAGCTTGGATGATCACCTAATTGGCTCAACTGATAGGGATGTCAATTTGTATTGAGTCATTATACTATAATGTTAGCTAGCTATCTAATTCAGCCTTTTATATGATGTAACTTCAGCTGTTAGAAGTATTTCCAAGATTATAAACCTTCCTGGGGATGAGCCACAGGCTTAAACATGCTCTGTTTACTAGCAGTGGCAGGAGCCTTTCTGCTCTTGACTAGTATGTCATTGACATATAAACAAAATCAGACGAGTGATTAATGTAAACAATACATGGCGCCAGTATGTGAGGGACACATGGTAAATGTGTTATTGTATGAGAATGATGTTTTTTTTTTTTTTTCTTAGAAATTTATTTCCATTATTAGGGTGCATCTTCTAAGCTGGAAAACACAGTTTTTCAGTTATGAATTGAGTGCTATTGGCTACTGCCATTTGTATACATCACGTATATAATACATTAAAAATTTTCCTTTCCCATTCTCTGCCGTACATCAATAGCTTAGAGGTAGAATCTTTGACTGATGCCAAATCAGTCGAGTTTTGATCCCAGCTTGAAGCAATCAGATGTCTAGCCACACTGATGAGCTGTGATACACCAAAACAGGCTTGTATATGGGTGACTATATATATATATATATATATATATATATATATATATATATATATGTGTGTGTGTGTAATAAATTCATTGGTATATAATCCAAATGGATCCTAATAATATAAAATAGTAGAACTGATCCACGAAAAGAGCTCAATGTATTTATTATAACAGAGCATATAAATTACACAACAGGGAAATCCAAAATTACCAAATGGGTATATTCTATTTCAGCTGACGCTGAATACATCAGTTTTATTCAACCTAGACAGTGGACTGTATTCAGTTCAGTCTCAGAACTAGACATTTAAAATTTAATACTTAATAAAAAACAGCAGTTGAAAAATTGATACAGTGCCTACTCGTATCAAAGCCTCGGCAGGACAGACTGCCTGAGTAGTGGTAAGGGGAAGATAGAAGTTATGTCTTAAAAGGAAAGATGCTCCACAAATTCAATCCAGATATTAACCTTAAGACCCCAAATTGGAGTTATAAGAAAGATGAAGTGGAACATATATAATATGTAAAATAGTTGCTTACCCACTACTCTAGCTGTATCTATTTGGCTCATCAGGTATTAAATATTTAAAAATCATTTTACCTTATAAACCCATCAACATATTATTCAGAGGAAGATCTTAAGATGGTGACACCATGAATCTGGTGCTGGACATGTTAACAGATACTTTTCTTTTATGCTTACAATTCACCAATATTTCACACCTTTTATTTAATAAATTTGTCTGTTCAGAAATGGTGGCTATTTGTCAGTTTTTCTTTATTTAACCTGCAGTATGCCACACACACACACACATCTGTGTTTATATATTCAATAGACTCTTTTTTTTTTTTTTTTTTTTTTTTTTTTTTTTTTTTTTTTTTTTTTTTTTGTTTTTTTTTTTTTGTTTCTTTTTTTTGTTGTTTCTTTTTTTTTTGTTTCTTTTTTTTGTTGTTTCTTTTTTTTTGTTTTTTTTTTTTTTTGTTTCTTTTTTTGTTGTTTCTTTTTTTGTTGTTTCTTTTTTTTTTTTTTTTTTGTTTTTTTTTTTTTTTGTTTCTTTTTTTTTGTTTCTTTTTTTTGTTTCTTTTTTTTTGTTTCTTTTTTTTTGTTAAATGAGTTGCTACAAATTTTCATACCTTACTTTCAGTTTCACTCTGAATTCAATCAGATGCCAGAACAAAATAGTTTGATACAGTAATTTCTGAAAGCTTGTAGAGATCAGGATTTTAAATGCTTTAAAGGTGATTTTAAAATCATTGATCTGTATTAGACTTTATGGTCCTCTCTTTGATAATTGACAGGGGTTAGTTGCACTATTGTGTGTTTGTTTTGTATATATTTTCATTGCATGCATTTTAACTTTTTCTTTTTTTTTTCTCCCCAAAGTTTGATGAAAAGGTGATTGCTGAGCGAATATTTCGTGGAAAAAAGGAGTCCTATCCATTTAGCATTAAAGAATTCTTTGTCAAAGATCGACTTGGTAAGTAAAAAAAAAAAAAAAAATTTTTTTTCATTAGATTTGTTTGTGGAAGTGTACATAAAGTTTGTAAAGAAAAATGCAATGTTGACATTTCTTTGATAAATTTTAGTCATCTTATGAAAAAATAAAATTTTGTTTGTGTATAAAAAAAAAAAAAAATGGGGGGGTAAAATTATTGATTCTTTTTATAATTGAGTGCCTATTATAGTTTAAGATTTTTAGAAAACAAAAATGGCTGCTTGCGTGAAGCTAAAACTGCTTTGTATTTTTATAGAGAGAATTCATAAAATTACAAATATCATTATTTCAGTGTTTTATCTGTATAGAAAGTGCAATATCATGCTGTAAATGAAAATAAGTGTACATTTGGTACATTAAAACAATTTTTTAGGAATTTGTAAATACTGCTTCCCAAAAACAATAAAGATTTTTGAGAAAGACAACTGTTCAAAGATTTTCATTTTTTTTTTTTCTTTTGTAAATTCAACTGAAATGAATTGAGGAAGAGAATCAGTTATAAGCTAATTAAATGAAATTTTGAAACAGATGGATTTTTAGCCTTTCAGTTCTTTTAAACTAGCAATTTTAAAATTAATATTATAATTGTTTTGTTCAATTTGTTTTAATCAATTCTTAATTTACTTAGAGTAAAATGGAAACACATTTCAAATTTTTCATTTCTTTGAGTTTTATTTTTTATCCTCATTGCAAATGTTCAAATTTTGTCTGTTTATCTCTTAGCCTCTCACCATGAAGCCATGATGAAACCTTTCATCAATGAATCAATAAACAAAGAAGAAATTCTGGTAAGTAGATTTTATTATTATTATTAATAATAATGACTTTAAAATAGATTACTACAGCCATGTTTATAAATGAAGAAAATGAAATAATCTATTTAAACACCACTCACTAGAATCTCCAATATTATTAACCCTAGAACACTAACCATCAATTAAAGTTACACCACTACTAACCATGGGTATATCATACCTAATTTTGAAAATATTAAAAAAAATATTAAATATAAATCTTTATTTGAAATATTTTACATGCAGGCATTTCAAACTTTGTACTTTGAGTTAACATTAATAGGAACTGAAAAACATTGTTTAGGTAAGAAAATCAGGCATTGAAAATAGTAATTAAAAATAGGAAAATTTGCACTGGGTACTATATACCCATGGTTAGTGTTCTAGGGTTAAAATCTTGATTTGGCCACATTATTCTATGTTGACTAGTATCTTTTCTTATTTTTGTTTCTTTTTATTACTTTACAGCTCTCAGACAGTGATTCAATGAACATCTGTAAGCATTGTTAATAAAAGTACTCGTCAAAAGTGAATAACTGACAATGCTATACAAGAAATTTGATTAATTTTTTTTCTTTCTCTTTAGCTTAAAAAAAATACTTCCTTGTTTATTATAAAAATCTGTTTTTCTCTTATTTCTTCTTTATCCTATTGTCAGTTGCTGAAAAAATAAGTCTTTTTTTTTTTTTTCTAGAAAAGAAAACTCCTGTAAAATACAATTTTTGTGGCACTCTCTACAAATTAGAACCTAAATTTATGTAATATAAATGAAACATTGGCTTATATAAAACTAGTTCTTACCCATGAAAAAAATCTCACCTTATTTGTATTAAATGACATATTTTTACAAAGTGATATATGTATTTACTGCTAGACTTTCATATATATTCATTTTTACGTATATTCATTAATATCCAAGATACTTGTGTCCCATGTGTCAGAATGTAGTATCTTTATACCGAGAAATTTCATGGTCATTTTAAAACCTATAAGGATTATGCAGGTTGTTTCCATTTCTAGTGTTTCTACCATTTCTCTTAAAGGAGGAGAGTAAAGGTTAATTCCTGCAAATTGTTTTCCATTCACAATTGAATGTTCAGAATATATATATTTTTTTAACTTGAATTTTGTTCTAAACTGTAAAAGCTTAAAAGAAAAAGACTTAACAATTTACCAAGAAGCTATTGTATGTAATTGTCTGTTATTAATATTTACTAAACTGATCTTATTTTCTTTTTATCTATACTACAGTATTCAACTCCTGTAATGAAATATGACCGACATGGCTACAAGTCACGTAATCGGATCTTGATAGTGTCTGACCAAGCGCTCTATGTACTGAATGAAAAAGATTTCAAAGTGAAAGATAAGATAACCTATTCCCAGTTGAAACGTAAGTGTTATTTTCATTTTTATGACGTATTTCAGTCCTGAAAATCTTAAGTTATAAACAAAGATAACATTAAAATGCTAGCAAATTATCGATGGAAGTGAAACAATGAAACAAATTTAATATTTTTCTAATGTGAGTGAAAAGAAAAAAAAATCCTTTGAAACTATGAATACAATATAGAATAATTGATGCATATATTTCCAAATTCTTTAACAGGCAAATTAGTCAATAGAATTTCATAGCTTTGATTATTTGATTCCTGAATTTCAGTTTTGAAAACTTGGCATCTTCTTTTCTATGACTTGGGATGTCTGCTTTAAACTTTCATCAGAAAATACATAAAATACAAGATTCATAATGTATAAAGGAAAAAGACGAGGAAAACTGTAGTTTTAGCCAACACATTTCATCCAATGTAAACTTTTTCAAGGCAAAAAGCAAAATGAATTTATTCAAACAAACTATCTATAAACAACAAAATGTCATTAGCAACTAGAAGAATTTATAAACACTATTATATATATTCATTGGGTCAACTGGAATATTATGTCAATTACTTTGAAGAGAATATTTTCAAATTTAGAAATATTGTTTGTATTGTTGTGTTGACAGATTCAACTGTTTTCTTTTGATTTCTTGATATATTTGTTGTGTACGTTGGCTTGGGAGAGTAGCAATTCTTTTAGGAAAGGTGATATTGGGGGAAAAAGTCTGGACATAGATTAATATTTGGATAATTTTCAATGGTGGCAATCTCAAGGATTTTCCTTCTGAGTGAATTATTTTCTTTTTTTATGAGTGTACCATTTATAAAATCAAAATTATGGTTGAATTTATTGCTATGTATGAGCAATGCATTTGTTAAATTGTTATTTATGAGGTCTCTTTTGTGCTCATAAAAGTAATTATCAAAGTATTTGTTGGTTACCTACCAGTATATTTAAGAATGAATTTAAAATAGGCAAGTCCTCAGACATAAAATTAAAAAAAAAACTTTCTCCAAATAAATTCTGATGAATAAGAAAAAAGAATGAAGTGGCAGATTAACAAAATTATAATGAATGTATTTGTTATTTACACTCAGCCTATTGACTCATGAAATCCATGACAAAGTAATTGTGAGTTCAATCCCTGGGCTGGGTAGTACAAACTTAGACATTGTGAAAATAGGGTAGGCAGTAACTGAGCAGTACTAAATAAAGAACTTAGACAAGATTACCTTGGACTTGGTCAACTGAAGAGAATCTATCCCTGTAGATTAAATAATGAGTTCCATTCAAAATTCTCTGAACATTACTCAGATCAATCAGCACCTGATGAAGGCCAGAAGGTACCTTGACTGAAACATCATTGTGACAACAAAAATGAGGACAATAGTTTGAGTGTAAATGTAAATAAGTCAATGCCAAAAATTCCAGCAGAAAATAATGTCAAATAGCTTGTGATTCAACACACAAGTGTTGACACACCTGAAGATCTATGTCTATCCATGTAACACGTTTCTGTAATTTCCTTGCAGGTGTCATGGTAAGCCCTTTGACAGATGGAATATTTGTTGCCATTGTATCAACTGAAGAGAATGGTACCAAGGTATTTAACAAAATTCTTTGTTTTAATTTTTCCTTATGACATGATATAACAAAAATAAATCCTCTTTAATAGTAACTTGCCTACAGTTATATCATGTAAAAAACATCAGTTCTTATCAGATCCCCAAAGATAATTGAGCTTGGTTAGTACCTAGATGGGTGAACGCTTAGGAATACTAGGTACTGGATGTGTTGGTGGTGTAGTGGATGGTGGTTCAAAATGAGAAACTGGAGAGCAAAGTTCAAATTCCAGTTAGGTCCGTTATATTCACTTACATGCAAGTACGCTTGATGGATCATGATTTGAAAAGACATAATCACTCAATATCTGTCTATATTTCTGAGATGAGGTATTATGTACATTATTTACATTATTCAGACTATTGTCCTCATCTTTGTCGCCATATTTATTACAATGTTTCGGACGGTGTACACTCCGGCCTTCATCAGGTGGTTGGAATGTCAAACTGAACCCTTTATTTCACTCACTGGGGTAGACTGTTCTAGTTCCATGTGCCATGTTTTAATGGATGTCAGTTATCAGTTATCTCCTGTTAATTTCCCTCTGAAAGTTCTCCACTACCTTAACCAGGTATTGAACTCGCACTCTTTGGGTCCTCACTGGATCTAACCAACGCCTTTATCCACTGTGCTATGTGTCCTCAATACCCGGTTAAGGCAGTGGAGAACTTTCAGAGGGAAATTAGTAGGAGATAACTGATAACTGACATCCATTAAACATGGCATGTGGAACTAGAACAGTCTACCCCAGTGAGCGAAATAAAGGGTTCAGTTCGACATTTCAACCACCTGAAGAAGGCCAGAGTGTACAACAGCTGAAATGTTGTAATAAATATGACAACAAAGATGAGGGCAATAATCTGAATAATCTAAATAGTGTAAATACCTCATCTCAGAAACATAGACAGATACCGAAGAAGGCTTGAGCATACAATGGCCAAAACATTGTAATAAATATGGCGACAAAGATGAGGACAATAATCCGAATAATGTAAATGATCACTCAAGCGTGTCAAATCCATCCCTACCAACACACATTGGGTTAGCATGGTAGAGTAATGACATATTCCTCATGATTTGGGGAATGACTCATAATTGATACAACAATAGTTAATAAAAATGAACACGCTACCACTCCTGTCTAAATAATTAGATTTCTCTGTATCCTTGGAAACAAGAAATTATGAATTATGTGTGCATTTAAAACTCAGTAAATTTTAAAATAAGTTATTCCAAAATTCACTTGAAGATGAAACGGAACTAATGCTTTTAATTTAATTATATTTAATTATATAATTAAATTTGAAGTTTTTAGCTTCGGTTTTTGAAACATGGTAATTCCCGTGTAGTGAAGAAATCAAATTTTAAATCTGTTAATTTATAATATATATATTATAATAATAAGGAACTCAAAATGAGAAAAATACATATAAATTATTTACTAGCATAATGACAGAACTTATAAAACAAGTAGATGTTTTTTTATCAAAATGATAAACAGACCCAGAAAAATATAAAGTAAATGATTCTAACAAGATACGATGCAACCTCAGTTCTTGAATGTCTCACATGTTGAACAAATCTGTTTTCGAACAGAAAATTCGAGATGAAAATGCCTTGGCTATGGAATAAAATTTCAGTTCTCAAACAACATTGCCGAACATAGTTAACCTAAACAGAATAATTTGAGTCGATCACCATGTTGTATACATTCATTTGTTGTGGCGTGCTTTTCTTTTCCAATTTTATTGTACTGTAACTTTTTTCTCTACATTGATTCCTACTGAAAAAATAGTTTCGATTTACGAAGAGCCTTCAGGAACAAATTAAATTCGTCAACCTAGGTTCCCCTGTATTTGAGTAAATTTAATGGCCTCAATATATTGTTACCTGAAATGATAAGTAATGAATGATTAGATCCAGCTTCATCCCCCTCACATGTAAATATGAACATAAGATGCCAATTTGACAAAATAAGTTGAATATATTTACTTCAGGATCAAAAATGTGGTTTCTACTTTTGTAACTTTGTTAATCCAGCACTGATCTTCATAAATGAACAAATTGATAAATCATTTGCTTATTGCCTGATTTGAAAATACAAAGAAACTAATACATTAGAAAAAAAACAAAAAAAAACACATTAAATTCAACTAAAAGGGAAATATGTTGAAATAAAGAAAGCTGTGTCAAAGAATGAAATAGAAAAGTCTCTTATCGGGTTGACCCAATTCTCTGTTACAAATACATAGATGATTTTTTTTTTATATCGCATTTTAATGTTTATACCTCACAATTTTTCTAGAATAAACACACACACATATATATATATATATTCCGATTTCTTTTTGAATTTGTAGGTCTGATGATTTGGATTGTGATTACGATTCCAATGTAATAAATTATAACCATGGAATATTAGTGTTTGACAATAATTCTTTAGAAAAAAATCTGAGTTTAAACTGTTTAAAAACAAAAAATGTATGCGTAAACAGAATAGAAACCTGTTCATATAGACACTTCAAATGACACCTCAAAATATCTAAATACTAATAAAGGTTGCTCTACTAATGTAGAAAAATGAAGTTGTAGCATAATTTTAGTTGCATTAGTTTGTCAAAATTAGTTTGTTTTTTATGTGTGTATAGTAAAATTTAAAAACTATAAAAATGATTATTTTTTTATTTATTTTTTGCTTATACGCATCATGTTGTAATTGTTTGGTTTGTATCTGTCATGTATGCCTAACCATCATTCACTTCTCTCTTCACTGCTTCACTTACCCACCTCAGTCAGGAGGGGACGATGATGACCCAGACTACGACAAGGTAAAAATAAACCAAAAAAAGTCTGCAATGTTGTAAGAAAAGAAAATTGCTAAGGAAAGATTTGATTAATGACATTTGTCTTATAGGCTACTTTTTTTTTCTCTTTTTTTTTTTTTTCATAAATCTCTCAGGAACATTCATGTTTTCATTCTGCCAGACATTTAGACATTTTTCTTTTTTAAAATTTAGATTTCACAATAATGCCATAAATATGGGTTAAAATTAGTTAAATCTTAACCATTGGATGTTCACAGGAGACTCTTTTAACAATATTTAAATTTGCAATTTACTAAAACTTGAAGTGAATTATGCAGATTTCTCTAGCAAAAGTAAAGATATTTTCTAAAAAAAGAAAAAAAATCACTTTTTCTGTGACACTGTCTTGAATTCATAAATATCAAAGAAACTTCACTTTTCCTTAAATACTATAAATACAAAGAAAAAGAAGACATTACTGTAAACTTTTTGCTTCTGCATTTTATATGCAATGCAATATGCAGGTAATGTAACACTGGTTCAGAAAGAGAAATTTCTAAGCTATGTTCTAATTCTGGTCAGGTTTGTTGCATTCATTTGTGTATAAATACATCTCTTCTCCCAGTTATGGGTTAAATAGCAGGGAAGTCTCTGCACTTTAGCTTTGATTGGCAACCAGTCTAGGAGAAGAACAGCTGGGAATTCAAAACTATATAGCCCTGGTGAGGTGCATAATATTACAGCCATTGAAAAGATTATGGCATTCCCAATTAACTGTGTGAATTATGGTCATATGTTGAAACACCAGTTCTTGTCTGATCACCGAAGTTAAGCAATGTTGAACCAGGTCAGTATCTTGATGGGTGACCACTTAGGAATGCCAGGTGCAGTAATCATAGATGTCCAGGTGGTATAATAGGTAACAGCTCCAAATTAGAGATTTGAAGAACCAATTTCCAATTCTAGTCAAGTTTATAATATTCACTTATACACAAATACCATGAGGAAAGGGTTGAATCCACTTCTTCCTCCAGCTATGGGTTAATTAGTAGAATTTATATCAGTAAAATTCTTACAATCCAAAAATATTTTCTGGATTTAAATAACCTGAGAAAGGTTTATAAGCCATAAAAAAACAAAAAAACAATCCAAAGCTGTAGCATGAGTTTGTGGAATTTATGATCACAAGTGAAAATCAAATTAAAAAACATAATTGTACGTTATTTTCTGTAGATAAAATATTTTTTTACTATATAATAGTGGGTGAATTTTATCCCAGCTGAAAGGAACATTTTGAAAATTGAAAAGCTGTCATATTTTTATTTCTAATGTTTTTTTTTTTTTTTTTTTTTTTTTTTGTTTAATTACATAACTGACAAGAATGATATATCTTAGTTGACCAACATTTATTTTTTATTGTAAGAAATAAATTACAAAACCTCATCAGTTTCTACAAAGGCTACAATCTTTGAAATGGATTTTTAACAAGGTTCACATAATAAAGTGTAATGATGAACTAACATAGGTTAACAAGTCACTTGACTGAAACCAAATATTTTGGAACAATAACTTTATTTTGAAATTCATATCATTTACCTCATTTTTTGTAACTGGATTTCTTTAAGGAATTTCCTTAAACAAAAAATAACAATGTCAGCGAGCAAAATTAAAATAACTTTCAGGTTAAGCATCAATTTAATTTGTTTAATCTATTAACCCAGCAAGAAAATTTGATTGTCTAAAAGGTGGAGGTGCTTTGTTTTCCAACATAGAAATTAAAATTGGTGATGTCAGTTCAAATTTTGGCTAGGGCAGTTTGGATTTATTTTGTACTAATGCTCTTTCAAAGCATTTTTTAAGTGATCCATTTTTAAGTCAGTAGATTATGTGCTTTTTTATTTTTCTTATCGCTTGGTTTTTATTTTTTTTTAATTTATGTTAAAATGTGAAAAAGAACCCAAATACTTTAATTTACTCTAATGTTCATAAACTCTTGACAAACCTGGATAAACATACCCACAATAAGACATAGTGTGAAAAGGACAGTTTTTCATATGACACCATTTTTCTTTTTTTAACTATCTTCCCTCTTCAGCAATGTTTATTGATCTAAAAGGCAATGATTAGAATTGGAATAAAACTTAAACATATGAAAGTGAAATTATACATTTTTTGTTCTTGAGAATTGACAACAAAAATATTGTTTATTTACAAGAATAATTTTATATTTACAACATTCTAAAACCTAATACAATTAGAAATGCAATGCAATATTTATCATTTACCAATTTATAAGAAAATGAATATGAAAACAATTTTTTTTCATTCATAAACTTACTAAATTTATTAAAATATAAGGAAATCCTTATTTACCATTTTATGACATTTGAATCAATTGGCAATTAACTGATGTTTTACCAAACATTCCAATAAATAATATAACCAGTGTTTATTATTTTTGTTGCCAATTCTCAGGAACAAAGAAAATGTATAAATTCATTTTCATGTGCTTAGATTTTATTAAAATTCTAATCATTGCTTTTTAAAAGCTAGAGTGAATGTCATTTAACAAAAAAAAGTGGTGTCGATGGAAAAATTTTTTACACTCTCTCTTTATCCATGTTTGCCAAATTCTTTAATTTTTAATTTAAAGACCTTAATTTTTCTAGTGAATGAAGATTGAAAAATGAATGTTCCTGTAATGTCTTACATATATGAGAGAGGTAGCCCATAGAGACACCCTGACAATGACAGAATTGCATGCAAAATATTTGGATATCAATGACAAATCCAACAGGTTTTACAGCTTATTTGTTTAAAATTCAAATATGGTGATGTATATAATTTCAGACTATAATTTAATGTTATAATTGTATAAAAATATCAAATAAAATCGATTTAGCAATGCAAGTGTGAATAACATAATTACCATATTTTTTGGTTTTTAAACCCCCCCCTCCCCATAAGCACATTCTTTTGGGGCATTGAATGACCCACAGAAACAATATCAAAGTTCCCAAAATTAGATTTCTCAATAGCAACAAGGGTTATATAAAAATGACACCTAAAGCTGCTTGAATATGTTGGACAGTTGCTTCTCACCAGTATTGTTTTGCAAATGACCATCTTTTAGTCGGATGGGGTACCTGCATACCACTTGGGTGTGTTCAGATTGTTGTAATAGAAAATTACCAAATTGATAACTTGGGAGAGTGTGGTCATTGAATTAGGAAGTAAGGTCCTCTAATATCACACCTGTAAATCTTTTGTTTGACAACATATGAAGGATGTGGTATACAACAGAATCCTCCCCCCAAAAAAAAAAAAAAAAAATAGTTCAAGATCTAAAGAATTTTCCTGAAGAGAAAGGATTAATAACACTTGAAATGTGTCAAAATTCTATTTAAGGTTTGTTTCTTTTCATGAAATATTGTAAATTTTCTTTGACAAACATTGTTGTTCTGTTGAAAAATAAAGAAATTTTACTTATTTTTCAACTTGTTAATAAGTCAAAGTATGCAGTAAGTATAAGTAGTGCTAATAAGACATAAGTTTAATTTTCTTTTTCTTTTAATTTGCCTTTCAAATGTTGTGGGGATACTTTATTTATACTTATATATATTTATGTTCATAATTCATATCAATAAGCTTATTTAATATCAACCACAATATTGAAATAAAAAGTAAAATTAAGGATATTAAACAGTGCTTAATCGATAGTAATATGAAAAAAGAACTATATTATGAATATCAAACATAAGAATTACATTCTAAAAGAATCCTGTATGAGCAGATTAGCTTTAGTTTGCATAGGGGAATTGATTTATAATGAATTTACATGGCAAACTGAACCCCCAGATTAACTTTTTGAAAATGTATATACTCTTTTCATATTTATAATCTAAAATGCTTAATCAACAGTAATAAGAAAAAAAGATTAAAAAAGAAACAAAATGATTATTTCTAGTCATAGTACCTATTATTATACAACTAGCATAATTTGTATTGCTTAATAATTCTGTATGATTTTAATAATAGTTTACTATTAAACAAAAGCATATTTAACTCGTTTGCTGGGTGGCAATACACCCTACCCAAATAAGACCTGTCCCTGCCCTACACACAAGCTACTAGTGGCCTGGGACTGCCAATGGCAATACTAGCAGTAAACACTAGTGGCGTGGCAGATTGGTTGCTTGTGTGTAGGGTGGCAAGCTTACTTTCCTGAAGTACTTCTTAGTCTCTTTTAGTTTTAAGGTTCTCCTTTTCATTCACTGCAGGCAATAGCACTAACTATAATGCAAAATACTTTCTTCATATTGTCATGTAATGTTTTATGATAATTAAGTATTATCATAATTTATACAGGCTTATCATAATTAAGAGTTATCATAATTTATACAGATTTGTATTGCTGCCACATGATGATTGCAGTATCCATTTAAATATCGAAAGTTTGATAAGCAAAGTTTCCTTAATACAATTCAAGGTTTTCTTTTTAAATTTATGACAAACTTTACACTAATACAATGTCAATCTGACTAGCTTTGTTTTAATTAGATAATAGAAAAGTATAAAAGCTTATCTATCAGACTTCAAGTTCTGCAGCTATACCATTCATCAGTGTAAGATAATTCTATAAAGATTTTTCTGATGTTGATGACTGGTATATTTCTGAAACTTTTGAAGGTTATTTTCATCTATTATTATTGCTCAGTTTTTTAATATTGAGCAATTTTACAAATATCTACTGGTCTTTTTAAATGTGTTAAACTCCAACAATTTACTGGGCTACATGTTTTGTTAGGCATTAACAATCTGTTATTGTTATTAGCTTTATTTTAATAAAAACTTTACTTTTTTTCCTTGGTATGTCTATATCTTTTGTATAGCTAAATCCAACCTATTTTCTTTTCTTTTCTTAATATAACTAGAAGTAATGATGTATTCTAGAATTTTCCAGTCTTAAAACAAGGTTGACCCCACCACAGAACTTAAACCGCCATGTTGGATAAATTTTTATCTGTAGATTAATATTAGACCTGATCTGTATAATTAGTATTAAATGAATGTGGGGGTGCTGAAAAATTCTTGGTATATCCACTTACCCAAATCCAAACTGGCATCAATTTTTTTTTCAAGCTGAGAACTTTTCAGCACCCTCCGCCTACATAAAATTATAAAATAATCATAAAATACATTGTATGATAAAACTGAATAGAACTAATATGTAATACAAAAAAAACTATGGATTATATAAATGTCTTTAGAAAAAGATAATTTATTATGGGAGAGTATGATATATAAAATTTTGGCAATGTTTACACTTTGTGCCAGCAAAAAAAAAAACTGTGTCAAAAGGACAGTTATTCCCTTCACGCTGCTATTACTTTATGCACTTTAGACTCCCTCGGCAATGTTTATTTATAATATTTTAAAAATATATGAACCAAGTACAATGTGATATTTATTATTTACATTTTATAAAGATTTATTATTTGTCATTTTATGAAGAAATAAATTATTTGAAAAAGTCTTTTTATTCAAAAATTTATAAAAAAAATTACAAAATTATCAAAATATGTAAACTAATTACAATGCAAGATTTATTATTTACCATTTTATAAATAATTATCAAAACAAGTTTCTTATTCAATCTCACAAACAGTATTTAATATCTTTGTTGTCAATTCTGAAGAATAAAGAAAATGTATAAATCCATTATCATATGTTTAAGTTTTACTAAAATTCTAATACTAGCTTTTTAAAAACAAACATGGGGGGTGAAGGGAGTTTACAGTAATAGCGGTGTCAAGGGAAGAAATTGTCCTTTTTGACACGCTTTTTTTTTTCTTTTTTTTTTTTGTTCAAATATTAAATATTGCCAATTTTT